GCCTAATGATAATAATAATCCTTTCATTTGATACAGCGCCTTATCACGTCTTCGAGACGTCTCAAAGCGTTTCACAGCATACAATGTAAAGTGTAAACCACTGTTAAGAGAGGAGTCCATCACAGGAAATAACGCGTCGCGTTCAAGGAGCTGGGAGATGATGTGCAATGGATGTGGTGCGGCTGATTGCTGTCAAATTAGGACAATGTTCCAACTTCGTTGCCCAACATTCCCCCACCCCCCAACTCCCCGGCACTGACCCAACCTCTTGTAGAATTGAACCGCGAGAGAGCACACTGAAGCCTCTCCAAGGGTGGTGGGGGTGGAGGGTGAGTGGTCCCACCAAACACTTTCCACCATGTAACGCCAATGTAAACATGGCTTTTATATCCTCACTCCATCAGCTGTGGGTACAAATAAATCCCTGGCAATTTGGAGGCTGTTCGACCGGGTCTGTCTGTGCAGATGTTACATTGTGTGATCCGCTTCCACCCTCCAGCAGTTTGGGAAAGGGCCCAGAGAACGAACTGATTTACGCTTGTGACTGGTGTACAGTTCAGCGGGCTCTTCAAGCCAAGGACTCGGTCTACCCAGCCGTGTGCTACGGGAGAGAACTTTTTTTGTTTCAACTATCTGTAACCCTTTCAAAATGGATTGGTACACGTAAACAGAAACTCCCAGTCCTTTCCTACGCCGGCTGCATTGTTCGACGTGGAGCCCCGTTGATAAATGGGACACACAATGATCTTGAGAGCAATTTTTTTTATTGCCTCGTTACAGTGTTCAGATCAAGGCCGGCCATTCCAATCTTTCGCGCCACCTAGTGGGACTTTGTGCACTTAGTGAAGCTAGAAATGTCAAGAGCACATTGCAGTACGTGTCGTGTGTGTCTGCGCTCTCTCATTGTTGTGCCCTCTTTATGAACATTATTAATAAAGCACACAACGACCAGGCCTTTCTTTTTTTCCAATGTGAAAGCCATTTCAGCCCAATGTGAAGGAAATATAATAATAATAATAATAATAATAACCCTTGCATTTGATATAGCGCCTCATCGCGTCTTCGAGACGTCTCAAATTTTGATGGAAGGGATTTATTACCCCCGGGAAAAGGGATCCGGCAATCGACGAACATGACACCACTTGAAAAGTGAAGAGAGTTTCTTACGCTGTCCTGACCGATAATTCTCCCCCAGATAAAACCGGTCACTTACTTACTTCATAGCTGTTTGTGGGACATTGCTGTATGCAAATCGACCACATTGACACACAGTCACCGCGCTTTGCAGTAAATGCTGTGAAGTGCTTTGGGACGTTTCGACGAATTGTTAAGGTGCTCTATCCAAATGCAATTATTATAGTCAAATTTCTACAACAGTTAAGACGAGCACTTGAACTCCCTCTCCCTCTTGATAGCAGGAAGGCCAGTGCCATATGCCTGCAAGGCAGAGATGTGGTTGAACTTCACACATCACTTCTCCTGCTCTCTGCCAAACAGGCTCCTCAAACTTCAACCTGTCTTTCCAGGGGAATGAAATGTTCAACCGGAATTGTCGGAGCACGGATCAGGCTGTTTTTTGGGGTGAGGGGGGAGAGAGAGACAAAGTGGCTGAGGAATTGTGGTCAGCACAAATTCTCTGGCCTCTTGTCCCTCTGGACTCCTATCAACCACAAGTCACATCTGTGAGGTTTTGTCCGACAGCTAGCACTGTCTGTACCCTACAGTTATGCTGGCCGCCTGTTATAAAAGGAAAATGACCAACGTGTAACCAAAATAAACAGGTTGAATCAAACCAAATTAATTTGCGGTGTAGGTTTGCTCTTGTTACGAGCCTCTGTTGTTGTGTAGAAGAGACTGTGAGTTCTTCTTAAAATGAAGACAGTAAAGTTTGACAGCTGCTGCTCTTTCCATCTCTCTCCTCTCCTCTCCCCCTCTCTCTCTGCAGTACCTCTAACCATCTCCAATTACACGAAGGTCCTCTAGGAAGGCGTGAAAGGATATCAGATGTGGTGCTTCTCGAAACTCGAGAATAAACAACCGGGTCCAAACTTTTTGTTCACCAAGTGGAACATTCTGTATCGTTTTGGAGATTAAAGCAATATCTGGATGATCAGCAATGTTCACAGTGAAGCTGTTTGGGGGAAGCACTGCGTGTCATGGAAAGGTTACTGAGGATTGAGTAGTTATTCATCTCCACAACTAAAAAGAAAAGTGGGCTTGATTGCTTTGCATATTTGTCACTAACCACAGCCCAGTCTTCCAATGATCTTGTTTCAACTCTTTGATGTCCAGCAAAAGGAATGTTTCAGCGCCTTGGGACGTCTTCCTGAAGAAGTGAAAAGGAGCTTACAAATGTAATTTGTTGTTGTTGTTTATCTGAACCACTTCCCTCCCCACCGCCCGCCCCCACACCCAACCAACCCTACTCTTTGCAGTAAAAATCGAAAGGAATGGAAAACAAATGACATTTCTGCTATTCCATCTGGTAACTTTGTCTGGCTCACACCTGAATACTCTGGGATCAGATTTGCGTGGCTGAACTACAATGATAGGCATCCGTGGCAGAAGGAAAATGTTGGGTTAGCTCCAAACTCCGAATGGGCCTCCCTCCCTCCCAGCGGAGCTGTCTCCAGGCGTTTCTTGAGAATCCTCTAAAGCTGGTGACTCCAACTCAAGTATTGTAATCATAACAATCCTTGAATTTGATACGGCGCCTTATCACGTCTTCGAGACGTCTCAAAGCGCTTCACAGGATGCACTGTAAAGTGAATTGACTGTGTAGTTTGTGGATGAAACGCAGCAGCCAATTGCACTCAGCAGTGTCCCACAAACAGTCGTGGATTGTGTGACCAAAATATTATTTATTTATTTATTTAGAAGGAATTATTACCCCCGGAAAAGCGATCGCCAATTGATTAACAACCGGGTTCCTATTTACTGCTCGGTAATTAGAGGTGTGTGGAGTAAGGGAACTTGCCCCACGTTTTGCCCGGCCTGAGAATTGAACCCAGATCCTCTCTCTTGCGAGGCGAGTGCTCTAACCACTGAGCTACAGGATTCCACAGTTTAACCTTGTGACAGTGGAAGAGCACCATTGCATTTCTCCGGCAGATTATGAAATATTTGCTGCAATGCTGTGAGTAAAAATAAGGTATGTTACCAGAGCAGAAACATAACTGCAGTCAATTAGTCTGAGCGTGCAACCAACAGATGTGTAGTCAGTGCCGGCATTCGAAAAATGGGCCTCTCAGCTCATTCCTCTTCTGCAAAATATATTTCAACTCCAAGACTTGTGGAGTCCTGTAGCTCAGTGGTTAAAGTATGTCCTCAAAGGTTGCCAGAAATTGAAATACGTTTGTAGCACAAAGTCAACCAAATACTCGCCCCAAAATAGTCTAATATTAATATTAATCCGTGTGCATTTGATACGGCGCCTTATCACGTCTTCTAGACGTCTCAAAGTGCTTCACACGATATACTGTGAAGTGAATTGACTGTGTAGTTTGTGGACGAAACGCGGCAGCCAATTGCGCACAGCAGCGTCCCCACAAACAGTCGTGGATTGAGTGACCGATTATTATCATTAATAATAGTGGTACAAGAGAACGTGGATTTAGGGCAACATGTAAAGGGCAGTTTCAGGACAGACACCGGGATCTTATTTTCTGAAGGGATTATTACTCCCGGAAAAGCGATCCGCCAATTGACTTAACACCCAGACGCCTAGTGACTGCCGGGTGAGCAGAGCTGTGTGCGGAGTAAGGAAACCTGCCCAACGTTTTGCCAGAAACGATCAGAAGCGCTGGGACTGTAACTCAGCTTTTAACAGTATATTCTGATGGATTATGACGGATTGTCGCCGGCTCTGTTCTGTTGCTGTTGCTCCGGGCAGCAGAGCGGCCAAGGTCGGTCAGTGCTTTGGGCACGGGGAACGGGAACGGGACCTCTCACGTCCGCCTGAACGGGCGGGACCTCAGTTTAACGTCTCATCCGAAGGACGACGCCTCGAACGATGGAGCGCTCTCATCATCATCATCATCATCGTCAGCTCGAGTCCGAGTCCCCGGTGTGGGGCTTGAACCCGCGACCTCGTGACTCCACGGAGCCGAGCGAGAGCGAGAGCGAGGCCGCAGGGAGGCACAGGCTGCGTTCAGCGCCGCCGGGCGCCGTCCCTCTCCGGCTCGAAGGGCGCGGAATAAGTACAAGTTGTCGTCGTGGTTGTCGTTTCTCGAGCGACTGCAATGTGTTCAGAGAGGGAGAGAGAGAGAGAGACAGGAAGAAAGAGAGAACGAAAGGAAGAGAGGAAGAGAGAGAGGAAGGAAGAGAGAAAGGAAGGAAGAGAGAAAGGAAGGAAGAGAGAAAGGAAGAAAAAAAGGAAGAGAGAAAGAAAGGAAGAGAGAAAGAGAGAAAGGAAGAGAGAAAGGAAGAGAGAAAGGAAGAGAGAGAAAGGAAGAGAGAAAGAAAGGAAGAGAGAGAGAAAGGAAGAGAGAAAGAAAGGAAGAGAGAGAAAGAAAGGAAGAGAGAAAGAAAAGAAGAGAGAGAGAAAGAAACTCTGAGTTAAAACAAATTTTAGAGAATCAGCGAGAACCTGACCCACAGCTCTGCTGTTTGTCACACACAGAGCACAACAAACAAACAACACAAACAAACAAACAACACAAACCGAACCCCTGTGAAGCGGCCCAGGACCGTGGGGGCAAAACACCCCCAGAGAGAGGGGAGAGGGGCAGAGGGGGGGGCATCCTGGCACTCTTACCTCTGCTCTGCCAGCATCAAAGATGGCGGCGCTCTCGTGAGCTTCAGCGGCGGCGGCGCGAGCGGAGAGAGGGGGGAGGGGGGGGAGGTCATGGGGTTGGTTTTACGGAGCGGTGATTGGCTGTCGGGCGGGAGGGAGGGCATTGCTCGGCTCTGTGCTGACGAGTCCTCCGGCGAGTCCTCCCGGAAGGGTCGGCGGCGCGCGTGCGCGCGCGGGGCCCGGTGACGTGGAGGCCCAGTCCGGCAGCGCGAGCGAGCGACGAGAGGGGAAGAGATGGCGCCCAAAGGCGGCGGCGGCAGCAAACAGCAATCCGAGGAGGACCTACTGCTCCAGGACTTCAGCAGGAACGTGTCGGCCAAGTCCTCGGCGCTCTTCTACGGGAACGCCTTCATCGTGTCGGCCATTCCGATCTGTGAGTGAGAGAGAGGGAGAGAGAGAGGGAGGGGATGGGGGGGCCGCCATGTTGGGATGGAGGAGGGGACCCTAACATCCTCTCCCTGGCCCTGGAGAGGCTGTGGGGGGGTCTGTCTGCCCGCTTTATAGTTGGGGGGGGATGTGGGGGTGTGTGGGGGGGGAGTTGTGAATGGTGGGGATGTAGGTGTGTGTGTGTGTGTGTGTGAGGAAAAGAGATAAAAGAGAGAGAGAGAGTGTTGGGGTGGAGGGGGGGAGAGAGGGAAAGAGTTAAAAGAGAGAGAGAGAGTGTGTTGGGGTGGAGGGGGGGGAGAGGGAAAGAGTTAAAAGAGAGAGAGAGAGTGTTGGGGTGGAGGGGGGAGAGAGGGAAAGAGTTAAAAGAGAGAGAGAGAGAGTGTGTTGGGGTGGAGGGGGGGAGAGAGGGAAAGAGTTAAAAGAGAGAGAGAGTGTTGGGGTGGAAGGGGGGGAGAGAGGGAAAGAGTTAAAAGAGAGAGAGAGTGTGTGTTCGTGTGTAACGATGATAAAAATAACAATCCTGGCATTACCAGAGGTCGTCGAGACGTCTCCGAGCGCTTCGCGGGAATATACGGTGTAAGGCCCGTGTGGGTAGGGGGGACCGTCCGTCCTGCCGTCACTATGGTGATGTGGCACTCGAGAGCAGGAGTCGGGGCCTCATCCCCCCCCTCCCTCCCCCCCCCAACACCAACACTCTCTCTCTCTCTCTCCCAGTCTTCATCACCAACTTCATAGACCGTCATCAGTTACCTTCCTCCGACCCCACCGGCTGATCCACACTCAATCACTATCGTAATTAATAATAATAATCCTTACATTTTGACACAGCGTCTTGTCGCGTCTCACAGCGCTTCACAGAACGTACCGTAAAGCGAATTGACCATATAGTTAAACTGCCTTTTTTTTTAAAGTAGTTCTGATCAATGTGATTTTGTGTTTTATTTGCAGGGCTGTACTGGAGGATTTGGCACATGGATCTTGTCCAGTCTGCTGTTCTGTATTGTGTGATGACTCTCGTCAGTACCTACCTTGTAGCATTTGCTTACAAAAATGTCAAGTTTGTCCTGAAACACAAGTAAGTTCCGAGAATTGTAATGTGTACAATGGTAAACGTGATCTAATCAGCTCCATAGTTTTTACACAGCTTTGTTTGTATAATCCAGGGTAGCCCAGAAAAGGGAAGATGCTGTTTCCAAGGAGGTCACTCGGAAACTGTCAGAGGCTGATAACAGGAAAATGTCTCGAAAGGAAAAGGATGAACGGTAAGATGTATTTTACTTTGGTAGTTAATACATTGAAGATCCCATGGCACTATTCAAAAAGAGAAGGAAGTTTCTCCCGGTGTCCTGTCCCAACAACCCCTCCAAATAAAAATTGGTCACTCACTCCATGACTGTTTGTGGGACACTGCTATCCACAGCTGGCAGCTACATTTTGCTCACAAAATATACAGTCAATCCACTTTACAGAATATCCTGTGAAGCACTTTGAGACGTCTTGATGACGTGAAAGGCGCTATATGATATGCAAGGATTATTTATTTTTTGTTATTGTTTTAGAAGCTGGACAAATTGGCATTTGAAGGAAAACATTTCTGAATTGTTTGTTGAGGTGCTAATCTTCAGTTACTGGAGCAAAATATTAAAACAACATTCATTTCAAATGCATTTGTGCAGAAACAGTCATTTTTTTATGACCATTATTTCCTCCCATCTCTTTATAATATAATATAATAATCCTGGCATTTGATATAGCGCTTTTCACATCTTTGAGACGTCTCAAAGCGCTTCACAGAATATACTGTAAGTGAATTGACTGTACATTTGTGGGCGAAACGCGGCAGCCAATTGCACACAGGAATGTCCCACAAACAGTCATGGATTGAAAATGACCAATTTATTATTGTTTTTGGTTTTGGAGGGGTTATTATTAGGCTCTGTGTGGGGTAAGGAAACTTGCCCAAGGTTTCACTCTGCCTGCAATTGAACCCAGGTCTCTCGCTTGCAAAGCGAGTGCTCTAACCACTGAGAGCTACAGGACTCCACAATTCTATGGTTTCTTTCCCAAGGCAAGTCAGAATGCATAAAAATCTTGTCTCCTTTCTACAATAGAATTCTCTGGAAGAAAAACGAAGTGGCGGACTACGAAGCCACGACCTTCTCCATCTTTTACAACAACACGTTGTTTCTGGTTTTGGTGATCGTAGCTTCATTCTTTTTGCTGAAGAATTTCAACCCAACTGTGTATCCTTTTTAATACGTAACCTTGGTGTAAACAAACATGGGGTTCACAAAACTAATGCAACACATTATTTTGCTGTTATGGGTGGATTAATTCTAGGTATATTGGGTTAGGCGAGTGAAATGTGACCCCGAAATAACTTGGGAATGTTCAGTTGTGTGAAATGTGTATTTCCTTAACTCTGCTTCCAGAAACTACATCCTGTCCATCTGTGCTTCATCTGGGCTGATTGCTCTCCTGTCTACAGGCTCGAAGTAACTGCCTCACTTTGTGAGCTGGCGGAGAGGGTAAAACAGCTGTCTTTTCAGGATGAAAGCTTTTTTTTTTAAAAAGTAAAATTGAGATCATCCAAAACCATAGAATTGTGAAACTAACTGAGGATGAATACAGTTTTGTGAACTTACTTTTTTTTAAAAAAAACATACCTACATTCCACCAGTTGTGGCTGTACAGTCCTGTAATAAAATGTTTTTGGATCTAGAATTAGCTCTTATTATTTATCAGTCTGCGTTAGGTCTCCACATACACGTGATGATAGTCAAAACGTTCAACACCCTGCCCACATGGTCTTTAAAGCATCCAGTAGTAGATGGAAAATAAATTATTATAAATTCATTATCAAACTACTCCTTGTGATCAGTGAATATTCAGAAATAAAGCACACATTAAAACCAACACTCTCCCAATGCTATTGTAGCCACCGATCCAGGTTTTATTATATACAGATTTGAATCAAATCAGATACAACTTTTATCAATTTTTCCAACAAGCAAAATATATAGGAAATATATCAATCTGATGGCTACTGCATAGTACTCGGATCAGTAAGTCGGGCTGATCGTCTTAGCAAATCAGCACAAGTGTTTAAAGTCAGCCATCGCAACCTTAGTCTGAAGCTGGCAGCTCTTGGTAACAAACTTCATGCGTCACATATTTTCAGGACAAGAGGCCACTGCTACCTCACCCTTACTCATCGCACCTTCCAGTTCTTTCCCTATATTCCCTTACTGTTTTGGTTTGCATAATATAAGCCGCTGTTTCCCAAAGTTCTTTCAGTGTGAGGTGTGCAGAGCCATCTTAACCTATTGAGCAATAGATATGAAAGCATTTAAAAACTATACATCTATGTAACAAGATGTTGGGCTTTTCCTGGAGCAGCTTGTCTCCCCATTCCCCCATGTATTTCAGTTCCATTTTCCTTTGACTGGGGTATCTGTCCTACAGATTTGCTATGTACTGTTTGCTATATAAGTACCGTTCACTACAAATGCACGTGGTCACCTCCCCTTTCTCCCTGGTTCAAACTACTGCACTGTTAAGCACTATGAGATTCTACCCTACGTGAAGGGGACAAATATAAATAAATGCAAGTTGCTACCCAAGCAATCATCGTTCACTTCTGAACTTGATTGTGAATGCTGGCAATGTATTGAGGAAAGGCGGAGAGCATTTTAGCAGACCCAAAACTATAATAAACCCGACTTTTGACACACACACCTTCTAGCAGGACAGTAACCGGGAGTGGGAAGCCTGGCTGTGTGTTTTTTTTTAAACCCCTGAGTATTTTCTTTAAATTTTTTTTGTTTCAAATAAAATAAAAAGACTTGTTTGTGGGACACTGCTTTGCGCAATTGGCTGCCGCGCTTTGCCCACAAAATACAGTCGATTCAGTTTATCTAATGTTCTGTGAAGCCCTTTGAAACGTCTCAACCATGTGATAAGGCTCTATATCAAATGCAAGGATTATTATTATTTTTATCGTGTCTCATCTCTAATGAGCCCGGAGTCAGCAATGAGCTCCGTGTCCAGAGCTCCCAGACCTTCTTGTGCTGTTCTCCAGAGTGTTTCCCCTCCCCCTGCTCCAGGCCCGCAGGCTTGACTGTCCTACTGACACTGATCCCCCCCCACCCGCTTCTTGTCTCAACTTGTGTTTTGGCTACTCCCGACCCCCAAAATTGCCCAGTTTCTGTCTCCCCTCCCTCCCCATCCTCCATAGGATTATAGAATCCTACAGCACAGAATGAGGCCATTTGGCCCATCGTGACCGTGCTGGCTCTACGAAAGAGCTGTCCTAACCAGTTCCAATCCTCCGCTCTTTTCCCATTACTCCCACTCACTAATCGTCTGTGCCTTGGTAGCTCCTCTCGACCTGAAAGGTTCTATGCCAATGCAATTTATTGTTGTTGCAGTCCCAAGGTAGTGCTGAGATTAATACCAAAAGGTGAGCTGGTTGAGATCATCTGTTATGGCTTAGTGCTGCAGCCTGGAAATGCCTTTATCCATTAGGTCATTGACGAGCCGTTCAGTTTGGTTAGAAAAGAGAATCCAGCAGTCCTGTATTTGAAACACATGCTCATATAATAATAGATTACAAGGTGTAGTTGATGCAATAGATTTCCAGTTTAAATGTCGCCTGTTCCAGACTGACTGCCACACCTTTATGTTACAGCTGTACTGTACTGTATATTTCTAAAACCGGTTACAATGAGCATTGATTTTGTGGTATTTTACAACCTGGTAAAAGCATCAAAAAAGCGTCTTTGGGTTTCAATTGACCGATAACAAGCACATTCACACCTTGCTCCAGCAACATGAAGTCGAGCCTTTTTCTGTAAAGGTTTCAGCACAAGAGCAGGGCATTGTACATACAAGTCCACAACAGCGAATCAACGGGCGAGGAATCGACAAATGAAAAATTGTTCAAGCCTTGGATTGGGATTAACAGTCCAAAGGTAATATCTTCAGTAATTTTTATATGTTTTTATGTTGTGTAAAGAGGAGATCAATGCAGAGAAAGATGCCATCGTTTGGTAAGAAAACCAGGAAGGCCCCAAATGAATGGGAAGAAATCTAAATGCGTTTGAGTATAAGGGGGCACATCTCATTTACCGGGCGGGGCATGCACTTGTGGGAGCTCAGACACAAACAGCATTAGATTCATATCAACTACCATTGGTCCAGTGAGTAAAGTGCACGCACCCACTTTTAAGCATGCAGTTCCTGTCCATGCACCAGTCAATTAGGATCTGTAGTCTCGCTTGCTGTATGGTTTGTTGCCAAGTATGGTGTCTATCTCGTTCACGGTTTGCGATGACATCTTCGGAAGCACCTGAAAACAGTCCAGAATTTGAAGTGAGGACAGACATTTTCTGAAATGTACTAGAAGTCCAGTGACTATAACGGAAGTGATTAAAGGGCGGTAAATTCAGAACAAATCTGCGGAAACACGACTTCAGTGAGCGAATAGTAAACTTATGGAACAGGCTCACTGGGGAGACGGACAGTGGAAGCAGAAAATGTTGTTTGTTTCAAGAACAAATTAGATCAATTTCTGCGAGAAAATAATAACAAGAGACAGTATATAGTTTGGAACATGACATGTCAAGCGACTGCCAGGATGGTGGAAGGCGAACTAGATGGACCTTGGTTTTCTTTTGCCAAATTCTTGTGTTATGTTTTTAAGCCCCCCTGACTTTTGTATGAATTATGTGTAGAGCCTTATAAAGTGGGGTGAAATGTTAGCTTAGTTCTTATGCAGATTAACTGCTGGTACAAGTCTTGATCTAACATCATCAACGGAGCTTTCAAAGAGTTTAGTCAAATTGTTGTAATCTTATTTTAGACCCACATGCTTTGCAAATTCTCAGTTAGACAACAGACTGCACGTAGCACATTAAAGTAAACTGAACCAAACCAGCAACGTTCCTGGGTGCCATGCAATTAAGTGTTGGTTTCCAATGAGATTCAGTGATCACAAGGGAGGTTTGGATGAAGAAGGTCCTTAGGCCAATTTGTTCTCATTCTTCCAGAACACCCAACCTACTGTCCTCCCGTCACAGAATCAAGTGCTAACAATAACTTGGTCACTGTCTGAAAGTTCTGGATAAAGGGGTTTCATGTCAGCCAACTTGTGGGATCCCTACAATCTACTTCAGATCCTTAAGATGAACCAATGGATTTCAGTGATAACTTGCCTGTATGGCACCTAGGTTTTCCACAAGTTGTTCTACGTTGGAAGATCCCAGGAGAACTGAACTTACACCCTCATTGCGCAGGCACCAAGCTGGAAGAAATGGCAAACAACGGTCAGCTGTAAGAATTGACTATTTACATGGAATCTTAAACCATCACATATTGCACAACCACAAAAAAGGTCAACATATAGCATTGTAATAACAGTCAATAATATTAATAGTTCTGGGTTACACTCGGTACAAAGTATTGGTAATATTTATGGGTAATCTTGGGATGTCCTCCTGACCTGAAAGGCGCTACACAAATCTGAAATTGAGTCATGACTTGATCTGACACTTGGCTGTGGTAGTACTTTTCACTCCAAAGTAACAGGTGTTAGCTTAACAGTTATCGCTTGAATATTTTTTTGTTGGGTGTGATTGTAGTATACATTAAAAGCACAACACCACGTTCAGTATTGGACTTTCTAGAACCATGTTCTCACCTACTGCTAACTGGGGTAGAGTGCAGCTTAGTCTCTCCGCAATCGGAATGAGATCCTTCAGTTTAGCCTGTTGCTTCCTCCCTTCTTCACTGCAGATTTTATCCTTCAGCCATTGGTAGCACTGAGGACAGAGGGCAGGTTAAGTACTTTCATGATTTAATTGTCAAACATTCTCAGACAAACTTCAGAATTCATGCTTCTGAATTACAAGGTGAGCTTCTATGTAGAATCGATTCATCCCTTTATTGGTTATTTTACAGTTATGCCAGTCCAGCTTCAGCGTCGAACGCAGATCTATTAAGTGCTGCATTGGTTAAGGATGGATCAAAACTGCTTTGTTAGTTATCAAGCAGGCGACTCTTCATCCTGTCAGGTGATAGAGCAGTTCCTGTTGCCTATAATAATAATCATCATAATAATCCTTGCATTTGATACAGTGCCTCATCACGTCTTTGAGACATCTCAAAGCGCTTCACAGAATATACTGTCTGCAAAGGATTGCAGGCATTTACAGCCCGGGATAAAACCCCAAAACTACAAGAGCAAAGCTTGAGAACTATAACATTTGTCACATTCCTGCAACATTCAATGAAGCAAAAGTACAAAACACTTGTACACGACATGTGGGGAAAAGCAAACTGAATTCCACTCAACCAGATTACTGCCACTTTTTATTCCTCTGATAAGATTTCCCTTCCCGGGAAGGTAACCCACTGTTGCTTCCGTACGTGGAAATCAAATAGACGTGCTTGGTTTGATATCCAGTGTGTATAATATCACAGTTCTGAAATGTGCTTGATATTGTTTCTCAGATCTCACAGGAAGGTTAAACATCAGCCCTGGACTCTGAGAGAGCAAGTAAAGCCACGGCAAAGCTCCTACTTGGAATGTCACCTTAGACTGCTTCTACAAAAATGTGATCACTCAATCCACGACAGTTTGTGGGACGCTGCTGTGCACAATTGGCTGCTGTGTTTCGCCCACAAAATACGCAATCAATTCACTTTACAGTATATCCTGTGAAGCACTTTGAGACATCTCAATGATGTGATAAGACGCTACATGAAAGTATTAATACATATTATTATTATTAGTGTTAAACTTATTAGAGGAGCCCATCAAATCTAAATGGTTTCATTGCCTCTCTCAGTTTACCTTCAGAGAAGCCCTGGAATTATCAGGCACTCCATTCTCATACTTTCCACTGATGATACCACAGGCAAGTGGGGACCAGGTCATTGCACCGACTCCTGCAGGAAACAAAGAGGAAACAATGTGATAAAGGAAGTGAGAAACGAGGACAATGTCCCAACAATCCATCTCTTCCACCATCACTGCAAAGTGCTCCGAGATTTATTGTACTGTAAGAGCGCTATATAAATGCAAGTGGGTTGAATGTCCTCCTCTTCCTACAGTTAGTCAGACGCACTGAGTACATTGAAGCCTCTTTGAGTTACGTGTCTGCAACCCACTGTCCTGTGCTTTGCAGAAACACTGGCGCATTGCGGGACTCTGCTGTGCGCAATTGGCTGCCGTGTTTCCCCCACAAATATACAGTCAATTCACTTTACAGTGTACTCTGTGAAGCGCTTTGAGACGTCTCGAAGACGTGATGGGGCACTGTATCAAATGGAAGGATTATTATTATTATTAATCACGCACCAATTTTGTGGTAGAGCTCGGGGAGCTGGGCTTCTATTTTCTCTCTCTGGAAAAGGTGGTATTCTGCTTGCTCACACACTGGAGGGATCAGGTTAAACTGCCTGGCCACAGAGTAGGCTTCCTACAGGAGAATCAATAAGGGGTAAAAATCAAACATCAACATCCGGACGCGCTTCACCCACAAAATACACGGTCGATCCACTTTGCACTGCATTCTGTGAAGCTCTTTGAGGTGTCTTGATGACGTGATAAGGCGCTATATTAAATGCAATTATTATTATTATTACACACAATATTATTATTGCAGTTGATATAGCGCCTTAACACGTCGCTCAGACATCTCAAAGCGCTTCACAGAATATACTGTGAAGTGGGTTGACTGTATTTTTGTGGGAGGATTAAACATTATTCATTGGTGGCTATTAAAGCATGTGAAAAAAAACAATTACCATAATCTCCATTGCACTCCAGCGAGACGTGCCCCAGTACATGGCCATTCCCTGATTTATCACGTAGGTCATTGCCCGGACAATTTCTGAATGAGGATGAGAAAAAAAAAGCACACGAACGTCAGATAGCAAGAAAAATAAATGGATTAGGAGATAAGAAAAGTGGCATTTCGAGTCGGTTAACACTGGAGGCAACAGGATTACATGTTCCTGAAGGGAACACAACAAGGCAATTCGGACAGGAATTACCCAATTTTATTCTGGCTTTCCGTGATCCAAGACTCTCTTTATCTCTTTATCTTGCAACTTTTTGCCTCAAATGTTAAGCTCAGTTAAAGAGGACTTTGCTGTGTGTTCAACTGGTGGGGAGTGGGTGGGGGTTATTCTTAGAGTGAAAGGACTTAGTATACTGTAACCTGGTTTGCATTTACTGCATCTCTCCACATTTTAGCACAAGGCACCTTTCTGATGGTATCTTAATCCGGTACTGACCACCACAAACCACATTTACCAAAGTTGCCCCGCTTTTGGAAAACCCTTCCTCAGCCAAAGATCCCTCAGCCTCGCTGGCTTGTGATTTTTTTCCCCCCCCCTAATATTATAACCTACTTGACTAAAGAGTCGGGGTCGGAGGCCAAGCAAGGAGGAGGAAATACTCATCATAATAAACAATAATCATCATCCGTGCATTTGATATAGAAGAACCCTTAACTTGTCGCAGATTTTGACAGATCCCGTGGCTCCCTCCATTGGCCACCAGAGGGTGCACCTCCACCACTAAAGATACCCAACTCACCAGAGAGGGACCCGATTCTTTTTGGTCAACCGGGTGTCCGACACACACGGAAACCCATCGCCGTCGCTTAAGAGTCTCCAAACCGAGCTGAGATTTCCCGGCCTCCCCCGCACACATGGAAATCCCAGAGAGAGATTGTTGGAATGGAATGCGCTCTCTCTCTCTCCTCTCTCCTGCTCACCTAGTTCCGGAAAGTATTAGGCGCAGGTTGGCAAGAGCCAAGGCTTGGGGCGGATGTGGAGTGGGGTGGGGGGGGAAGCCCAGAGTGCGCGATGGGGGTAACTGTTGGGGGTAACCACATAGCTTGCTTGCCAATGATATTGCTGTCCGGCAAGCTTTCCCACTGCTTGTCCAGCGAGGACCACCCTTACCCATTTGGGCTTTGGCTTGCAGGGTTACCCCACTTATTATAAGAGAGGTTCAATGTGATGGTCTGCATAGCTCCAGATTGGTTTGTGGGTCGATGCTTTTGTACTTGAGAGTGGAAAATCAGACCAACCCAATAACAAACTGTCATCTCTTTTTGACACTGGAGTGTCAGCTGGGAAGGTTTGAAAGATCCATACAGTGAGCGAGTGGTCACTAACCTTCCATCGGGGTATTGGTATCTGGTCGATTTGCAAACACCACGTCCACATACTCCAGCTGCATCCTCTGGAGCGACGCCTTCAAACCTAAAAATGGCACAAAAGGTCTTCAAATCAAGTCGGTCGGGCGGTCAGTGATGTACTGGATCCAGTCTGCAACAGGAATCTGCCCGTCAGAATGTCTGCCAACCAGTCATTAAAAGGATCAATCACAGGATCCAGCCAATCGGAATGTCAGTCAATCACCTTCATGAAGAATGTTTTTCACAGTTTCATAGCGTAGAAGATTCTTTCCTTCAGCTGTTAAGTCAGAACATCGCCACGTCCAGCCTGCTCTGGACAGGTTATTAGATCATGGCAAAAATCCCATTTCCCATCTTTGCTATCCTTATATAGATATTCTATCTATCCTGATCCCAACGCCCCAGCTCGGGTCCAAACCCCGACTGTACAGCGCCTTGGGACGTCCTCCCGACTTGAAAGGCGCTGTACAAATATAATATTGCATTGTATTTTCTCCTCACCCCTTAATACTCTCAGTTCCCAACTATCCATCTCCCTTAGAAGCCAATTGACTGTCTAATTGGGATTGTTCACTGTACAATGGGCAACTAGCTTCACCATCGCCATCACCCAAGCTTGCTCAATATTGTGGACGGCTTCAGGTTCAGAAGGATTTCACAATAATTGGACTAAGCATTTCACGGAATGTAATTGGCCTACTGCAGTACAAGTATACTGACAAGGCGTAACTGCCTGCCTTACCCTCCTGGCTCACTGTAGGGCACAGCTCGAGGAAGAAGGAGCTTTAATGATTAAGTTCTTCTGATTCAGATTTTCACTGCGGTTTGATATGTAAAACATCAATTCTTGCATGATGTGTGTTTAGGGGAAACACCCACACAGAGCAGCACAGCTGTCACCAACACATCCTCATTTCATTATAACAATGGCTTCAGATACAATATCATAACCACCCAAAACTGATCATTATCCCTCAAAGCTCCCATTTCATTATTTATAGTACTGTTGAATAAACAGTTTTGATTCTACACTGACAGCTAAATAGAATCCCTGATGGCAAATTAATATTTAATACTGTGGACAACAGAGATTTGGCAGAGCCTAAGCCAAATTGCATAGGTGTGGAATTAAGATGTGAAAGATGTTCTTATCACACACTGATGTATACCTTCAATGATGTGTTTTCGAGAGAGCCCTCTCTCGGTCTCAGCCCTGTGGAAAACATCAGACACACATTAGTACAGTGTAATAATAATAATAATCCTCGCATTTGATATAGCGCTTTTCACGTCGGGAGGACGTCCCAAAGCGCTTCACAGAATATACAGTAAAGTGAATTGACTGTATATTTGTGGGCGAACGCGGCAGCCAATTGCGCACAGCAATGTCCCACAAACAGTCATGGATTGAAAATGACCAATTTATTATTGTTTTGTTGTTTTGGAGGGATTATTATTAGGCTCTGTGTGGAGTAAGGAAACTTGCCCAAGGTTTCGCCCTCTGCCGGGAATTGAACTCAGGTCTCTCGCTTGCAAAGCGAGTGCTCTAACCACTGAGCTACAGGACTCCACTCATGTGTACTTTCTCATGAGACACAGCGGCTCAGTAAGAAATCACTTGGAACATTCAGAGGTTGAAGATATGATCATAGATTAGCTCCTTCTCCAGTGACCCACATCCAATGAAGCTTGAGAGAGAGAGAGAGAGAGAATGTAAACCTGGTGGAAAATAACTATTTGGTTGTAGGACATGGAAATAATTCTAGTTTTGCTTTGCCAATCAGCTCTGCTTGTGTAAGTGTTGATTCTTGCTGAGGTGTTACTTGTTTGGATAATAATAATAATCCTTGCATTTGATACAGCGCCTTATCTGTGGAATAGTTACTAACTGCAGTTGAGTCCAATAAGAGTGCAAAAAAAACCTGCGGTTCCCACGTTTGTACAATAATAAATCTAAAGCAGAGAGAGAATTCAAACAGATACTCACTTTCCTCCCCAGTAGAGCTTAGTTGTTATCACCAGGCTGGATCGTCTGAAAGAGAAACACAGGAATAATGTAATTTACGTTTGACAAAAGGAACCAATTTAAGATAGTCATCAAAAGAACCAGAGGGGAGGTGAGGAGAAATGTTTTTACACAGCGAATTGTTGGGATCTGGAATGCATTGCCTGAGAGGCCGGTGGAAGCCGATTCGACAACAACTCTTAAGAGAGAAGTAGATAATTATTTGGGGAGGACAGGTTTGCAGGGCTATGGGGAGAGAGCGGGGGTTGAATTGGATAGTTCTTTCAAACAGCCGCCACGGGCACGATGGGCCGAATGGCCTCCTTCTGTGCTGTATAATTCTATGATTCTATGAATCTCAAAATGGGTCTGGAGGTTTTTTTTTCTGCTCAGCATTGCAATTTTAATTTTAAAAACCTGCAGTAGTTATTAATTGATCCTCTGCCCATTTCAGAAATTAACACTTCCTTCGGAAGTCTATTTTCTCCTCAGGTAGAATAGTATAAATTCCGAGATTGCACAGGACAGATCTGAGACAATTAATCCCAAACTCCGCCGCCCGGATACTCACCCACGCAATACTCCATACCCGAATCACCCCAGTCCTTGCCAGGCTCCACTGGCTCCCAGTTACTGAGCGGATCGATTTCAAGATCCTCTCACTTGTTTTCAGATCCCTTCACGCCCTCGCACCTCCCTACCTATCCGATCTGCTTCCCCCCCCACCCCACTCCACCACCCGCTGCCTCCGCCTCCTGTTTGTCCCTTGTCCTCTATTAACTTGGCAAAATGGGAGAAAGTGAAACCAAACAAAAAACATTGTGTAGAAAAACACTTACTAACAGGTGAATTAAAAAAGGATATTTACCTCCACGCTTTCTTTCGGATGATATTTCCCAGTATGACCTCTGCCCTGAAACATTAAGAGTCATTGCTTTTTAGTTGAAACAAGCAAACTGCAGCCAGCAAACAAACAAGCCCCAAATGCCAAACGCCGTGACACCATGCCTTGCCATGATTGATCGTGTGTTTGTTGAGGTGAGCCTCCAGCGAGACCTTGTGCAGTCAAAGTGCCAAGTCAGTTTATTCAACAATGTCGAACTCTTTAAAAACTCACCTCTTTGGTCGATTCAAAGGCTTTAGGACCTTAAGACTTACTGTCTTGCCTTTGTAAAATTCAGCTGCAAGGAGACCTCGCTTACCTTCCCCCCAACCCCCACACCCCCCGAAGGACAGTGAACTCAGTGAGATGCAGACTTTAGCTTCTGAGCTCATTGGAGAGCTGCAACTTTTGACCTTTTGAAGCTTACTCTGAGAATGCTGTGAAGCAAAATCTGCTGTGTCCATTTCCCCCAGGTCTACTGCAAGACTAAGCCTCCAATGCTGGAGAAGAGGTCTTTACAATACTGTCGGGTTAACGAGTGAATGATGACTCGAGGATAATGGCTTAGAGCAGCTCAGCTGTTCGAAACCAAAGGTGGATCACACACAGGACTAATCTGCTCCATGTACTTTACAGTTTTATGCATCTCGAACATTGATACAAACACAATGTATTGATGAATGTAGATGACTTTAGAAATCTTTGGTATTTTTAATCCTGATCAACATTTTCACAGGCTTTAATAGCATCATCATACAGAGGCCTGGGAAGTGCCATTGATCTAAATGAAAACCTTATATAATAATAATCCTTGCATTTGATGTCACATCTTCGAGACGGCTCAAAGCGCTTCACAGAATATACTGTAGAGTATAGTGACTGTGTATTTGGAGGCGAGCGCAGCAGCCAATTTGTGCAGAGCAAATTTTTAGGGAGACAGGCGATGGAAGCGGAAAATGTTGTCTGTTTCAAGAATAAATGAGATGGATTTCTGCGAGAAGATAATATGTGGGGGTTACAGTATGAAGTTTGGGTCACGACATGTCAAGAGCTGCCAGGATGGTGGAAGGCAAACTAGATGGACCTCGGTCTTCTTTTGCCAGCAAATTCTTATGTTCTTATATTCGTATTAATTATCTCAGGGGCTTATGATTTAGGCAGAGGAACATATCCACAGTCAGCTGGGCTGCTCGGGCCTGCCATCTATTAAAATCTATTAATAAAACTATATTAACACGGCCCAAAACGCCTGTCAGCCTCAGGTTTTGCAGATATGTCCCCATTTAGAGTGTGTTGACTTGGGACTGTGGCTGAGTGATGCTGTGCTGTGAATGAACAATAAACACAGCACCACCGCTATGGGTTTAAGCTCAGCTCCTTTGATCCTTTATATCTGGGCTCAAAGTGACTGAGCTGCCAACGTGCTTCCAGCCCTCTCTTTCAACCGTGGCTTTAAGACGGAGTGGGATGTTGGTACTTTTGAGAGTTTGCTAATTGTCCCAGTTTTTACACAGTTGCGGTTTGACGATTCAGCCACAATCAGCGAGGCGTAGCAGATGACAGCAAGTTCTGGCAGGGCATAAATAAAAAATGTCCTGAACTTGTCTTCACTTGAGCTGCTCATTATATTGTGTTATCGTTATACTTCCTGCACATAAGCCTCCTCCATTTGTTAGCTTCTGAACTTTCTTTTATAAAAGATTGCTTTCCTCGGCCAACGCACAACATTGGTCTTGAGTCAGTGCCTCAGAGAAATACGGAAACATTGGAACAGGAGGAAGCCATTCTATAAGATCCTGGCTGATCTGTACATCAACTCCAATTACCCGCCCTTGCCCCGAATCCCCTGACCCAGCAAATATCTCTCTGAGAGGTTGCAATGTCTTAGTTTCAGTGACGTAGGCACTTGCAGCGTAGGGAATATGCTTTTAAACTCCCTCTTCATTTCTCTGGTAATAATGTTGAGTTAATGCCCCTTTTGGATCGATTTGCCAACCCCAGGGGAATTTTGATTCTGAAATCTGATTTAATAACTCACGGGAAATAATTCAATCTGACGACAGGATTTGGATCGAGCTGCTGGAGGGGATGTTGGCTGTTTAGGTGAACCAAGTCCGTCCCGTTCAGTGCCTGGCAATTCACTGCCTGTGAATTTCAGCCCTTTGGAGCCAGGGGGGAAATTAATAATAATATATAATAACATTTGATTTAGCGTCTAATCACGTCTTCGAGACACCTCAAAGCGCTTCATGGAATATACTGTAAGGTGAATTGACTGTATATTTTGTGAGCGAAACGCAGCAGCCAATTGCGCACAGCAGCGTCCCACAAACAGTCGTGGATTGAGTGACCAAATTATCATTACTTATTGAAGAGATTATTAACCCTGGAAAAGCGATCCACCAATAGACTAACAACCGGGTTACTACTTACTGCTAGGTAAAAAGAGGCGTGTGGAGTAACGTTTCGCCCTGCCCGGGCATTGAGCCCAGAGTGCTCTAACCACTGAGCTGCAACCCCACGATATATTTTGGATCTATTCTTTTCGTTTGCTACGATTATTGCATGAAAACTTCCCAGAGCATTTGTTTTGCTCAACAGCTCCAGGCAAAAGTATTCCTGCTGATCCAGGGATGAAACTCCAGCTCAGCCGATCAGTTTTGATTCCCATTAAACAGAATTTTGTTTCTATTAGCGAAAAAAAAATGAGCCAAACTATTGCCCAATTATTCATGTATGCAATGCTCAGTACCCTGAACAGAGACAGATTCTCATTTAATTTTGTGAAAAGATAACACCAGCTGTTCGCAGTCTAACCTTTGCACGCTAATTATTTCTTGTGAAAAATTATTTTGGTTCAGACTTCTTAAAAGTGGAATCATAGATCGTACAAGCTCAGAAGGGGAGAAAGGGAAAGCCATTTGGCTCACCCAGCTTGTGCTTTTCCCTGTGTGTGAACCATTTAGAACAACCTCACTCTCCTCCACAAACCACAGAAAACAGTTACTACACTTTTACAGTATATTCTGTGAAGCGCTTTGAGACACCTCAACGACGTGATAAGGCACTGTATCAAATGCAAGGATTATTATTGTACTATAAACCCTTTAAAACGCCTCTTTTATCAAGAGCCTAATTTCCCCTCGAAAAGAATCTGCTTCAACAAAGATTCGTGGAAGAGAACTGTGCGCAAATTTTTTTGTATTTTTTAAAAAAATGCAGAATGTTCTGACTGCGGCCTCTTTAAATCCGTGCCAAGGCTATTTAAAATTCTAATTCTAGTCCCAGAATAATGGGCTCCATTAGGGATTAATTCCGGCCCATGAATCAATCAGATTGTATCACATTAATAAACCATTTGCCTTTAACATTGAATTCTCTTTTCAATCAAGAAAATGACCATCTTAAGAGGTACCTGATAAAGTGCATTAATTTTTTGCTTGGAATCCAGTTGGGATTCCACTAAAGCCCTGCACGGACTTTACATTTGAACCAATTTTGTCACAAAGACCCAAGGCACCATTTAATTATTGCTGTACAGATATCCATGATGCCAAATCAATGTGGTTCTCAGTACTGGAACATACTGTAAATGTCAATCCCTACACACATCCAACTAATAATATGCCTCGCATTTGATGTGGAGCCTTATCCCATCGTCGTTGTGTCTCCAAACACTTTATAGGATTTTACTGTGAAGTGCAATGACTGTGTATTCGAGTAGTTCATGAACAGCAGCTCTCCCCCTCCCCCTCCTCTAGTTTGGATTTGATAGAGAATATTTGTCAAAAGGCTGAAAAAAAAAATTGGTCATTTTCATGTTCATGATTTGTTATCTTCTAAAGGTAAAACTCGCTGGTACACAGTCACAAACAGCAGGTTGAACCCTATCAGGTGAAATGGCTCTTCAGTGAACGCAATGGCTGCTGAAGCCACTTGTGTTGTTTGAGGCACAGTCTCAGAGAAGCATGTGTTTCACTTACTTGCCGGCTGCGTATACCTCCGCTGTATCGAACAGATTCACTCCATTCTCGTAAGCGATGGTCATTAACTGCTCAGCCACCTGACAAACACAAAGTGTAAATGACTCGTGAAATGCCGAATGTGAAAATATCCCACTATGTCACACACGGTCTCATTACGCTGCCATTAACAGTGAAGATGCCTGTGGTAAAAATGGATAACAGCTCAGCACTCTGCAAATGTTCCTATTTCTTCACCACGTCTCGGATTTTAAACAAATCTGGTAATATTCAATGGACACAGTGATCCCTGTTAATTTCCCTTAGATACTTGAGATGCCCAGAAAATATACAGTCAATTCACTTTATTCTGTGAAGCACTTTGAGACGTCTCGAAGACGTGATAAGGCGCTATATCAAATACAAGGATTATTATTTTTTATTATTTGTTTCCTCTATTGAGAGGGTGTGGTCTTGGTTGACACCAGTGATGATTGATTATCACATCACAGGTCACATTCTCCAGCTCAATGCCGGTCGGTGTGGCTGGTTTAGATGTCGTTTTGCCAGCACTTTTCTCTCTTTGGTTCGTAACTGAAAACTGCTCATTAGTGTAGCAGAATCATAAAGAATGAGGTGCACAAAGCTTAGAACCGCGACACATTCAGACCAAACGATCTGCAGAAGCAAATTGTTTTGAAGCAGCACAAATTGCAAAACGAAGGTCAGGCCAACATTACGTGACGTTGAGTCAGTTCTTTGAAAATCTTTAAATAGAGTCATGGGACTAAGTGAAGTGTTCCCTTACCTCATCAGTGATCTGACCTCCAAAAGTCACCCAGGTCCCTGCAAAGCAACGGAATTTCCATGAGAATCCCGCAAATACCAGTTATCACTGTGCGAGACGCATTTTAGCAACAAAGTGGGGCAATCTGAAATAAAAACAGAAGTGGCTGGGAACTCTCACTCAGCAGGTCAGGCAGCATCTATGGAGAGAGGACAGTGAGTTAACGTTTCGGGTCGACGACCTTTCCTCAGAACTCTGTCGTTTGAGTTCGATGGCCGACAGTGGGATTTCCACACTTTACTGCAGCACTTTCTCTCGTTGCATTAGAAGAAAAGATAACGAAACAATTATATATTTTTTCAAGAAACAAATCGATTCTCAGCACGACTCAGTGGAAGGCATTCAACTGTGTTATAATAATATATAATAATAATAATCCTTGCATTTGATATAGCGCTTTTCACGTCGGGAGGACGTCCCAAAGCGCTTCTAGCGTTCTGGACTGATCGCCAGAAGTGTTCTGGACTGATCGCCATCAAGCCTGCACATTTCAATGCCCTGGAACAAACTGGTCTTGTACCAGCCTTGCTCATTTGAATGGGTTCATCCCTCATCATTTTTAATGGAGCGGGGATGAAGTGAAGTTCCAAGTTGCTGAGAGTGGTACTTTATTTCCAACAAAAGTGCATTGCAATTCGCAGTAAAATACACAGTGAAATCACTCAAAGGGGGCCATCTAAGCTGCGCGCATTCAGACATCCACGTGTAAAAAAAGCGGTTTATGATGTGCTGTTTATCACTTCACACACCACATTACATCCCATAATAGCAGGGTTTGTGTTGAAACGCAATGCCCTTTTAGAGACGGAACATACACGACGAAGACGTGTGCTTCGGTGATGACCTGCTGGTTTATGAACCTCACACCGTGGGACAGAAATAAGTTAAACAAGACATCGCTATATCTATAACATGGGATCCCACAAGGCACCAATGCATTGAAATATACCACAGGATTTCACACTGGCACCAAATGGATTGTGGACCACCTGATCCCCATCACATTTTTCTAATCCTTCTATTCATCCTTTGTTTCTCCCACAAAATATACAGTCGATCCACTTCACGGTATATTCTGTGAAGCGCTTTGAGAGGTCGCGAAGGCGTAATAAGGCGCTATGCAAATGCAAGGATTATTATTATTATGACTCCTGTGTAATTTCCATCCAACACAAACCAGAAACAAGAGGGAGATGAAATCATTATACCCAGTGGGTAATGAAGGACTGGAACAGGTTGCCAGGAAGGATTGGGTTGAGGCCATTTGAACACATGGACTCATTTAAAAAAACAACAGCCAAACTGGAGCATTACCAGTGAAGTCGCTGAGATAATTAATCTGCTAAAATTTGCTCTGCGCAAACTGGCTGCTGGGTTCGCCAACAAATATAAAGTCACTACACTTTACAGTGACAGCTTGATGCTGTGATGAGAAGCAGGGAAGGTCGGTACTCTGGAAGAATGAGAGATGAGATTCATTCAAAGCAATCTTGCAATCTCAGTTGGATTCACCTACAATTTTAGTTGTTTGGCGGATCACTTTCCGGGGATAATAATTGCCTCAAACGGATCCCGGAGCCGTGCCAGGGAGAGGGGGGGGGGGGAAGGTGACCAAAGGCGCGGTCGAAAAGAAAGGTCTTCAGCTGAGACCTGAAAATGGGAATGGGAAGGGAGTGAAGAAGGGAGTTCCAGAGCCTCGGGGCGTAGTGGCTGAAGGCACGGCCACCGAGGGTGGAGCGGAGGACTCGGGGGACAAGCAGGAGGCCAGACCCGGAGGAACGAAGGCAACGGGTACTGTGCTGAGGAGAGAGGAGGTCAGAGAGGTCGGGTAAATACACAGTAAATCCACTTTACAATACATCCAGGGGAGCACTTTGAGACTGCTCAACAAGTGATAAGGCGCTTTATCAAACGCAAGGATTATTATTATTTATTATAAGTGGACTCTGGAAGGTGAAACTCCAGCTCCTCTCAACTGAAATACAGTCAGTGACCCTTAAAGAGATGCCAGCAGCTGAAATAACCAGGGATACAGATAATTAAACTGCTTCTATGTTGTAAACCACAAAAAAATACTGAGTCAGTCTCGAAAGGAATGATCTTTTATGTTTTAATTGATGGCTAGCATTGTTCAATGTCTCGTCTCTCTCCACAATCGATGCCGAAACAATGTGGAAGTGAACACAACACCTACATCTCAGCACCGGCCTCCTCCGCACTGGTGCCTCGTGAGACCAACCAACTTGTGAGCACAGATTGGGGCCAAAGTGAAAGTGGAGTTGTGTGGAGTAACTGCTTGGAGTGAGTTAAGCTTCTCAGAAAGCTGATTATTTGAGCTGTAAGCGCAGACAGAGCATGAAGGAATCAACATAGTCTGGCTTTAAAGATTCAGCATCTGTCAAATGCCTTTGAAGTCTGTTAGGTAAGGATGTCTATTTCAGGGAGGGAGAGAGTCACACTTTGCTTTGCTCCCATCTCTGTGAATGTTTTACTGATTCCCACTGACCTACTTAATAGCAAGAGATTAGGAGACACATCTAATGAGTGAAGATTAGGTTTGAGCTTTTCAGAGACTGTTTGTGGGAGACAGAGGCTCTAAATTCTGTAGCTAGAGCAAGGCCATATATTTAAATAAAAACAATAATAATTTGGCCACTCAATCCACGACTATTTGTGGGACGCTGCTGTGCGTAATTGGCTGCCGCGTTTCGCCCACAAAACACACAGTCAATGTAAACTCACCTGATGTATTTCTGGTGACAATCTTTACTAGATGTTGGGTGGTAGAGATTTAAAGGAGTGAAGCAAAAGGGCAGGGATTTGGGATTAAACAATCTGGCAAGATCTAAAAAGCTAGTGGAACAGGCTTGATCGGCTGAATGGCCTCCTCCTGTTCTTGTTTTCCTCCAGTAAGTGACCTTGTCTGGCTCATCAATATCAGAGACTTGGACATGTTCTCAATGGTTCATCAAACTGTTAAGGTGGTCCTTGCTTGCGAAGCATTTTGAAGTGGCAAGTTCCCATTTTTTCAAAAGAAAGAATTATTTGATTTCGAAGCTGGAGGCAATTCAAAGAATAATTTATTACCCCTGATTTGACACATTCACAAGCAAGGGCAACATTGCCTTGTGTTAAATTAAAACCAGTTCTGAAAGATTTAGATCCTTTTCCAGGCTTTTATTCTAATACTTTCAATGTCGTCAATAACTTTCTGTCTAAAGAGATGAATGAAGTCTTACAGCTGATGTCAAAGATATCTGACTTATTGGCAATACGCTGATATTAAATAATCACTTGTCCGTGATATGATTTTATAATCTGATTTAGACTCTGGTGAAGGTCTCTTGAATGTGAGAATTCACTGCAGGAGGCTATTGATGATATGGATTGCATCTCTTTCGCATGGCGTTTAAGGCAAATAATATCAGTCAAAACTTGCACCTAAAGTATTTGAAAAGAGTAGGTAGACTTCAAAAAAATCACGGATGGCATTCTAACCCCAAGTTCCTACTGCCCAATGTGCAACCTATTGGGGGGTGGGGGTGCGTGAAGGTTGTTCTTATAAAATAATTCACGTATTCCATTGCAGGGCCAGATGATAAACAATGAGTCAATGTGTAGTGGTCCACCCAAGATTGATTCAGATGAAGCACTTATATCAGTAGATCCTGTGAAGCACTTTGACGTGTCTCGATGACATGATAAGGCGCTATGTCAAATGCAAGGGTTATTATTATTATTACTACAATCTCCTGCCTCCCCTTCCCCAGTGCAAGTTTGTTTTCTTCACCTTCAAGTCTAAGACTGGAAACAGTTTCTGTGGAGTGTACTGGAGTCTCTGAGCCTTGGCTTCATATCAGTGGATGGACATCAGAGACAAATAAGTAATAGTAAATACAACAAGAAATGGTCTTTCTACCCATGGAATTGTTTGCTGTAACTTGGCTAGTTATAAGTTTTGTCCATCACCCACCCACCCTCCCTCCCTTCTTCAATCTCTTGAGTTAATATTTAGCTACAATCTTTTGAGCGAAGGGTCGGTTACATGTTTCCATCCTCTAAAGTAATACAGCAAAACTCAAGAATATCCATCAACTCTCCTGACCCATGTTTGGTTCCTTTCCACGGAATAAGATTATGTCGACTCAGCTTATCACGATCTGTCATGTTTCATTTTGTTATGGCTGAGATGCAATCTTTGGATTGTATTAAATGTTCAATGGAGTGTATTAGATACAGCTTAAAGTCAAACCAGATGGGCCCCAGAAAAAGGGCTGACCAACAAGTTGGTTAAAAACTGTGGACTGTGGAGTCCTGTAGCACAATACAATCTTCCACAGTCAAAAGAGCTCACAATTTCGACGACTTATGCTGAGTTAGCAGCTAAGCAAACACATCTGCTTAGGTTGAACATAAGAACATAAGAATTAGGAGCAGGAATAGGCAGGAATATTCCGTTGCATTTTTTTAATGTCATCCTCGGTGTTTACTCTCCCTCCTAGTATAGTGTCATCCGCGAATTTGGATATATTAAGTTCAATGTCCTTATCTAGATCGTTGATGTAGATTGTAAATAGTTGAGGCCCAAACACTGATCCTTGTGACACTCCACTAGTCACATCCCGCCAATCTGACAAGGACCCGTTTATCCTTACACCTTGTTTTCGTCCCGTTAGCCATTCTTCAATCCATGCTAATATATTCCCCTTAATTCCATGGGCCCTAATCTTGTGGATCAACCTTTTATGCGGCACCGTATCAAATGCCTTTTGGAAATCTAAATACTCTACATCCACTGATTCCCCCCTATCTAATCTAATCTACTTGATATATCCTCAGAAAAATCTAAAAGATTTGTTAAAGCAATGTTAACTCTGCCTAATCATATTGTGATCCTCTAAGTATCCCACTACGACATCTTTAATTAAGGATTCTAGAATTTTCCCTACCACCGATGTCAGACTAACTGGTCTATAGTTCCCCATTTTCTCTCTCCCACCCTCTTAAATAGTGGTGTGACGTTTGCGACCTTCCAATCAATGGGAACCGTTCCAGAATCCAAAGAATTTTGGAAGATCAGACACAAAGCCTCCACTATCTCATGAGCAACCTCTTTTAAAACCCTAGGATGCAGACCATCAGGTCCAGGGGACTTGTCACTTTTTAATGCCAACAATTTCCCTAACACCAATCCTTTGCTAATGTAAATTTCCCCTAAGTTGCTCCCTAACATTAGGTTCATCTCTATTTCTGGTAAACTTCTTGTGTCTTCTAGCGTGAAGACAGAAGCAAAGTATTTATTTAGGGACTCTGCCATATCCTTATCCCCCATTATAATTCCTCCTGTCTCTGCCTGTAATGGACTCACGTTTACTTTTGCAAGCCTATTCCTCTTAATGTATTTATAAAAACTCTTACAATCTGTCTTAATGTTCCTAGCGAGTTTGCCCTCATAATCCATTTTCTCACTGTTAATGAGCTTTTTGGTTTTACTTTGTTGGTCCCTAAAACACTGCCAGTCCTCAAGTTTGCTACTCTTTTTGACAGTTTTATAGGCCTTTTCTTTTAGTTTTATACTTTCTCTAACTGCTCTAGTTAGCCACGGATGAACTGCTTTCCCTGTGGTGCTCTTATTCCTCAAGGGAATATGTGACCACTGAGAATTACGCACTACATCTTTAAACATTTGCCATTGTTGGTCTATTGTCATATCCATTAATCTGATTCCCCAGTCTATTTTAGCTAATTCTTCCCTCATACCTGCAAAGTTAGCTTTATTTAAGTTTAAGACCCTTGCTTCAGATTTGACTACATTGATTTGATTTGCCTCCTTAACGCAGTGTTTACGACAGATTGGCCACTCCATTGAAAGAAATACCACAGCTGGAGATTGCCGAAGATTTATTATAAACACTTCAGCAAACAGATGCAAACGTTCCAGTGGCTGATCAGGCAAAATCATCCGGAGCCTCCGAGTCAGGAACAGGCGGCTGGCTGCCATGTAGCCACAGGGTCTTCTGAGAGTTGTACTCGGTGCAAAAGAAGCTGATGTTTTCAAAAGGAACTAGATTACCGTTTGGAATTTGACAAGCATAAGCCAATGTCACCACTTTCATTTTAATGGCCAGGTAATTGAGTCTAATATGCCAACTTTTTTTTAATATAATGGTGCCTTAAGGAGAGGAAAGGGAATTAAGAATGTAGAGTGAGGTGTAAATGGTATGCGCGCTGTGTACCCAGTGGGTGGCTGATGTTATTTTGGAATTTTTCGTTTGTTTCCGATCCATGATTCTTAAAGACTTCTCGATTTTGAAGTTAAGCCACAAATTAGGTAGAACACTTTATGGCTTAACTTCTAATTCCAATCTGAATCTTGTGTTCTCTTCATGATGTCAGCTGGTGGAAGGTTTAGATAAGTGGATTCAATGATTTAAACCACTATATTGTTACCCAAATTGTGTCCACAATAAAAGCAGAAAGTGCCCAAAGCTCAGCTTTTTATATGATGTCAAGGATCACATTCTGCCCACAAAATATACAGTCACAACACTTTACAGTTAATTCTGTGAAGCGCTTTGAGATGCCTCGAAGACATGATAAGGCACAGTATCAAATGCAAGGATTACTATTATTATCAGCATCACATATGTAAGGAACTTTGTGACAGAAGTTGCAAACTGGAGTATTTAGATCTTTGAAAGGAACTTATTAATATTTAGTTACAATTTAATTAGCAAATACACTGCCAAATTTTGTGTTTGGACGATGATACAAAAGTAATATTAAGTGTAAATCAACATACGTCAGATTTTAATGTTCGTTTTAAAAATATCCTCCAGCAGGTTCTTTACTTACCAAGACCCAAGCATGAAACTCGAAGTCCAGATTTTCCGAGATTCCTGTAAATGAAGAGCACAAGTTTAGGGACATGAATTTGTACAGAGGCTAAACAAAATAATCTCAAAAATCAATAGAAAGTCTTGGTACAAGAGTTATTAAATTTCAAAATCAGTCCCGAGAGCTGGGGCGAAATGGATGAGTGTAAAAGGAACCGATCCTTCAGTTCATTCACTTCAATATACTGTAACTGGCGGACTTCACTGTAGGCCAAGCCTACTTCAATAGGTCATTGGCAATGAATGGACTTGTACTGCGTGATTCTCAAGACGTTTGTCCACCGTCACCTTAAAGTTATTTTACTCCTCCAAGGAATCTCAGATGAAAGTTTAATGAGAATGGGAAGGTCACACCCGGCTGGAACTTAAGAGAAATATACTTGAGAGTTTCATTATAGTACAAGCGCTCAAGGCAGAACATATTTCCAAATACCTTACCGTCAGCAAGCTCTTTCAAGCCATTTTTTACCTTTAATAAATGTGTAATTTGACTTTCTATTACGCACGTGCTATCCATTTTAGTTACAACTGAACTATTAGTGCCATACGGGGGTGGGGGAAAGAATCTTTTACAAATTACTACTCATTCATAACTCAGGGCAAGTGTAAAGCACCTAGTTCATCAAATGGTCCTGACTGCAGCATTCAAACATTTATTAGGTGCTGAGCCCACAGCTCGTATAAGGAGAGCTCAAATTTCAATGGAAAGGTATCGAAGTAACAATAATTAATTTCAAGCAACTTTGCAGTCGGTAAAATACAGATTTACTTTCATAAAAATGTAACAGTGCAGAGGTACTCATGCCTTCAACTAACAGCACATTCAACAGTAACACATTCCACTACACGTGTGCAATTGAACTAGTCATTCCTATGGTACAACTCTTTAATGTGAGTTGGAATTTGTAGTGTATCCTGACATAATCAGTGCAAGGAACGAATTATGAGATGTCATAAATTTCACCTCTCTCTCTGTGTCTGATGGTTCCAATGATCTAGCCTTGCACCAAGTTATCTTCTGGCCAATGAGTCGGGGATGACAATAAATCTTACTGTTTCCCCCAGCAGATATTGGATCAATGATTTCTGCCTCATTCATCCCAAACACAGTGTATGTGCACATACCTGAATGAAAATTGGCCCAGAGACAGACACAGAAGGGAAAGTTTTACAGCACCCAGACACAAGAACAAAGGACATGATCTGCGTGTTTTGAGCAGTTGCCTTCAATCGTGATCTGAATTGTTAGCTTAGACCAGTTGCTATGGAGCTGAGACATAGAGTCTGAATTTTATTTTAGACAGATCCACTTATATTCCTCAATGTAAGATGACACATCCTTATTTCTACACAAGCACGGACACAACGAATATGTCTTTGTATTATAGCACAAGCTTCTTCAAGGAGAGATGCAATAATGGAAAGTTCTCACATACTATTTGACAATTTACCACAAACAGACTTACTATCTACAGAAATAGCAGTTGCTCAAATTGCCTCAATTTCTCACTTCCTTTTTTCATTGCTCAATGTTACAAAGCACAACTGAAGCAGGGCAGGCAGTGGGCAACAATAGTTTAGTGCCTGTTATTTAAGTCACACTTGATTTGAAACTAGGGCATTCAAATGCTTTAAATCCAAATTCAAGTTCATTTCATTCGAGGTTCTGGGGAAGTGGATGTATAAATTTCATTTATTTTGATAGTGCTGGCAATGGTTTTTTTTCTCTCCCTATCTCAGTACCACTTCATCATCCCTCAGTGCTCTCTGCATCTAATTTAATTTAAAAAGAAAGAAGACAGAGTCGTTTACGATTTCATCAAGTTTGCTGTGCGGTGACCAGAAAAAAAAATCAATGCAATAAAGCAGAACCACAAAAAATATCTGCAATATAATTGAAAAGAGTTACTGCTTCCTGATGACATTATGGGAGGTATTTTGACGTGCTGCTGATTGGATAATGTAAAGTAGTCCACTGTGCAAAATTAACCATTTTTTCCCCAAAGGCGGGTCTATTAATTGCTTGTTAAAGTACGTTCACTATCACTTGGCAATCATGTCCAGTGCTTTTATGATTAGAGGAACCCAACATCTAATGCAATGATATAAAGCATTTGTGCAATGGGCGGGGTCCTCATCTCAATCTTTGTTTGTAAATGATAATTGTTTAACACTTCATGTAATTCGGTCTGTATCACGTTAATTATTCAAAGGAAGAATTGAAGCAGTATAAATGTAACACCCAAAGCTCCATTCCTTACATATCCTCTCGCAGTTCTTCTCTCCTTTTCCTATCTGCCATTCCAGATGGAATAGACTCCCAGCTACAGCTTTTAACAGCGCTTTTAAGTACCATCTTTAAGGAAAGACATTGTTTGCACACCGAGTTAGCAGCAGGATTATACATTATAAAGGCAACCTCAGATCACTCGCTGAACAATGCCAAATTGTTGAGGCCTCGCAATATCATCAAGAGAGAATCAGTCAAGGGTAAAAAATGTAACACATAATAAAATGTAATAAGCTTGAACCCTAGCTCAGACAAGTGCAGTCTTGTAGCTCAGTGGTTAGAGCACTCGCCTCGCAAGTGAGAGGACCTGGGTTCGATTCCCGGGCGGGACGAAACGTTGGGCAAGTTTCCTTACTCCACACGCCTCTGTTTATCAGCAGTACGTAGGAACCCGGTTATCAGTTGATTGACGAATCGCTTTTCCAGGGATAATAATCCCTTCCAAAAAAAAATAAAAGCAGGAAAGGGGAGACTGCAAAAAAGTGAAACCATTTTAATAATTTGGTCACTCAATCCACGATTGTTTGTGGGACTTTGCTGTGCGAAAGTTGGCTGCTGAGTTTCACCCCCAAAAATACACACAGTCACACCATTTTACAGTATATCCCGTGAAGCATTTTTAGAGAGACCTCAACAATGTTTTAAAACACTTTATCAAATGCAAGGATTAATTTTTATTATTATTCTAACATAAGCCGGCAATATTCATTGGCTTGGCTCACACGTAACAAATGGCTACAGATTACCAGTACCTATTGAACCACAGATGAGTCAGTTAGAGGAGGAGGTGGTGGGGGGAGGGGAAGGCAGCGTAACAAAAGAAATAATAACTTTATTCTAACATTTCATGAGGTTTGATGAGAATACATTTACTGGGGATTGTCACGTTGTGTTGCCAAGGTCCCAGTTACCAACAAGGTGACAAGCAATTCACAACCAAGGTCAATAGATATCCTGGCAACGAGAGAATAGTCCATTGTACATCTTCAAATCCATTATATTCAAACCACAAAACAGTTTTAGTCTGTTCTTCTGTGAGACCCGGCGTTCTTTGCAAATTCAACGGGAATAACCTTGCCTGCAAGCACATTGCAAAGCTTTTTCTTACTTTCCTTTTTTGCTCGTGATAAAAACTTTCGGATTCTTTTTTTTGAAAAAAATATGATTTTATCATCAAAGCAATGCAATGCTTACACAAGACACCCAGCATCTTGGGACGTCCTCCTGACGTGAAAGGCATTACACATGTAATTTTGCATTGTGTTGTATCGTAAAGCGTCAGGGCTATCTGACAAACTGTTCCTCAATGCCATTAATACGCTAATAGCAATCCTTGCATTTGGTATACCTTCTTTCACATCAGGTGGATGTCTCAAAGCGCTTCACCAGATTTACTGTACCGTGTTACTATAAAGCCGGGCGATTGCGTGTATTTTGTAGACAAAACGAAACCAGGCAGACAACATGCACGCAGCTTAAATCTGAGGCTGAAACATGTTGACAGGAACGATTACATTGGAGAGGAGAGCAGCACTGAACAAAAGTAAGTGGGAGAGGGGGGGGAGGGGGGGAATGGAAATATTTATTAATTTTTTTGATCAGCAAAATCCTCTCGAGTGCAATGATGATGATATACAACAAAAGCCCAATTCCAACAAAGAGCTGAATTGCAACATTGCAAGACTCATCTGTTCACTGATGATTCCAGTGCATGTTTCAGCATGTTCAGCATCGAGGCTGACCCGCGCTTTAATCAGCATTGCATCTTCTTATCCAGCACAAAACATTGGGAACATTTAATAGCAGCAGTAAAAACAACAACAACAACAACAACTTGGATTTATATAACACCCTCCACACCGGACGGCGTCTCAGAGCGCTTTACAGTAACGGATCCTGGGACCGAGCCGGGGGGAAGGTGACCAAAGGCGCGGTCGAAAAGAGAGGTCTTCAGCAGAGACCTGAAAATGGGAAGGGAGGGAGCGAGGTAAAGGGAGAGAGGAAGGGAGTTCCAGAGCCTCGGGGCATAGTGGCTGAAGGCACGGCCGCCGAGGGTGGAGCGGAGGACTCGGGGGACGAGGAGGAGGCCAGACCCGGAGGAACGAAGGCAACGGGTATTGTGCTGAGGAGAGAGGAGGTCAGAGAGGTCGGGGGGTGCAGAGGAGTGCAGGGACTTGAATACGAGGGTGAGGATCTTGAAATCAAAAAAAGGCACAGTATTACTAACTTCAGGTTTTGTTACTTTTTTAGAAAAATAAGTTTTTTATTTTCTAAATCTTACTTTAAATCTTGTTTACACTGCTGGGCACAACTGGTGGCCGCGTTTCGCCCACAAAATATACAGTCACTTCACTTTACAGTATAACCTGTGAAGCGCTTTGAGACGTCTAGAAGACATGATAAGGCGCTATATCAAATGCAAGGATTATTATTATTGATCCAATTTGTTTCGGTCACAACAGTAATCCTCACCAAAGGGTCCTGATGATGAGAGCAAAAGCAACTCTTTCTTTATCTTTCTTTTACAAGGCCTCCCACTCCTCATCCCCCCCCACAGGAATTCTATTTACAAGAGCAACATTCACTAATGCTGGAAAGTGAAGGGGAAAGTGATCAAATAGGAAGTTAACAATACGTTATTGATCAGTCGTCTTGAAAGTGACGTCATTGTCTGTCTGTTGTCTTCCAATGGCTCCCAGATGGCTAGTGATGG